TTATTATATGAATCTCTAAAATCACCACTTGTTCTTTCCTATTTTGTCTCTGCAAAAGCCTTTCTTTCCTGTTTGCTTTCTGTTTAAAAAACTAGGAAAGATGATAAACAGCAATTGTTAAACATTTGCTGTGTAACTTTCACCTACGAATGTTAAAAAAATTATGTGAGCAGCTCTGAGCTGCGGATGTTTTAACAAGTGCTGGAATACCAGGGAATAATCTTGGTGAATTTGGGGGGGGGGGGAAACCACCTAAATGTTGGCTCTGCATGAAAATGGGTAAGTTCAGGATAACATTAATCCGAGGCACCGATTGTGAAACTGTTATTGGCAAAGGATTGGAGAAATGCAGCGTGGTTGTCACTGATCCATGTGGATGCTTGGAAAATACTTTTTCAGAAACTCTATCCAGCACTCTCTAGTGGTAGGAAGATTTTAGGAAATGACAGTGTGCAACTGGGGTCATACAGCTTTCCCTCCTCCCTACCTCCTCCTCCCAGCACCAGTTTCCGCTTTCTTGGCTAATCGGAGCAGCCAGGAAATCCCATAGGTAAAACCGCTTTGCTTGGCATCTTTAAAAATGTATATTGAACTGCTGCTGGAATATCAAGGTTGTGGCAGGAACTGGTTTGGCAGTATTGGTATGAAGAGCAGCGGACGTACAAACCTTACCTGTGTGAGTCTGGAGGGACTCAGGGAGGTTGTCTTGGGGAATGGTTTTATGGTCTGTCTTGGTGGGGGCTCCTATGTAGTTGCTGCTGCCAGTGAGCTTGCTGCCTGCAGGCAAAATCAGTAGCGTGAGGTTGCCTCTCTTCTGCAAGCTGGACCTTTCTTTGCCAACTAGAAGCTGTTAGGGCTCCTTTGAAGTTGCTTGGTAAACTGAGTCATAGGAAAGATTTTGAGCCATTCACATAGGAGTGAAAAATGCCATAGGAATTTCTGCATGAGTGTAGCTAACCTAGACCTCAATGAGCATGGTTGTTGATTGCTAAAATTGTCAGCTGGAGTGAACTCTGGTGATTACTAGCCCTTTCTGAAGCTTTTTCCATCATATTTTCCTTGCAGCTAAACACAAGTGATTCTGAATGTCCCTATCTCTTTTCCTTACACTTTCATGTATTTCCCGTGGGCACAGTCTCAGTCCCACTATCAAATCAGTCTGTCTCAGAAGAAAATTGTTGTAATTCAGATTTTTTTCCTAAACAAAACAGAATTTGGCAGAGTAATGAAGGCTTTCGTGCATTTAGGCTTTTTTCTTGCAGAGTTGAAAGCTCTTCTTTGGTCCTATGGGAAGCATATATCAGCGGTGCTAATTATAATCTCAAGACAAGCTTGTTGCCGTGTGGAGGCAATAGGAAGTATCAACTTCTCACTGAAACTCGGCGTACTGTTGTCTGCTGATTATGTGTAGCTATGGCAGATATTGGGAATGGTGGTGTATTTCTTATCATGGCTTTTCTACTATAGCTATTCTTTGACTTTCAATCTCGTTATCTACTTTAGGAAAAAAACCCAGGAGACCATTTATGCTTTTTGATTAGTTGTATTGACAAGGTAGTGCTGAGGTGGCCGATTCTTTGTTATGGTCAGTGCTGATGGAGAGAGCATGGTGGGGACCTACCTTTTCCATACAGACAGAACTAACAACCACGTCTGGGGGGAGCGATGCTCTCTTGCTTCAGGTTGTGAACCCATGACATAACAAGGGGGCTCAATTAGTGCTTTAGGGTGCCAAAGCAGACCTGGATGGGAAAATGCTCTAGTCTGCGTGGAAAAAATAGTCGTGGCCCAAATCTAGTTTTGTAATATAATCTTACTGTGAGAATCTCCAGAATCTCCAGAAGAGATGACTGTCGCGTTGATCAAAGTGGCTGTATGGAATAAGATGCTTCGATGGTTGTCTAATGAATTTGTGTGTTCTGCGTGCCCGAGAGCTTTTTCTTGAGGTACAATAGAAAAGGTTAATCACTGGATAACGAGTAAGTGCTACAAGGAATTGAGCAACAACTCTGCTTCTTTCAAAATCCTAGAAAAGATGAATGACTGAACATGGTGAATCATCACTGACGTGTTTTTTCAGACAAACAGCCAACGTTCCTTTGAGACTTGCTGAATAAGCAGTTGCTGCAATTTTTTGGCTGTGTGTGAAGTAGCCTCTTCCTGCTTCCCAAAATGCAGCAAAGATCACAAACCAGGAAAAGCCACGTTAGTGGGGAATCTGGGTTTCCAGGTGTCCCTTTAATCGGTTTCTGTTGCACAGTTTCCAAACATAATTACACTGGTTGAATTGCAGTCAGCTCTGTGGACTTTTCTTACTATTTATGAGGATTTGGGCTTCTTGTTTTGCAGGAAAATACCTGAATTATAACTTCAAATAGGTAAGAGAAGAGAATATGGAGAGAGCATGTCAGGCTGACTTTCAGAAAAGAGATGCTTTAATTCCAGTATAATAGTTACATGGTTTGGTTTGTGATGTCTTGGATTTCTGTAATTTCCAAGTAAGCTGCTAGGACAGGAAGTGTTTTAAATCACTTTGGTTTTCATGCTTACTCATCTTGAATTTGTTCTCAAGGCTCAAGTTCAAAATTGCTACAGATACTTGACAGCTGTTGATGATAAAGGATATTTTAAGTGAATTTTAGAAAATGGAATAGCATTTTTGCCTGAGCAGCATTGTGCTTTGGAAGGAAACTTCAGTAAATAAATTCTGGATTAGTTAAGGTTGAACACACAAGGTAATGCCATCTGATAAGTGTTGTCTTTGCCTCTTGTCTGGAATAGTCATAATTCTTGATTTACACTACTTAATTTTCATGGTGGTAAATATTAAATGGGAATTTAATTCCAAGGAGGGATTCTCTGATGTGCTCCACTTTGTTTGCATTCAGTAGTATATTTCTGTTGTTCAGTGTACAAGCTTTTAATTTAATTTCATTTGAAAGAGGAGAATTAGTTCTGTGTGCTTTTGAAGGCAACTTCCAAAAACAGAAGATGCTTCACAGTACTGGAAAGAAGTTACTAATAAATGCCTGTAGTGGATTTTTAACTGTGAAGCTGAATTTATAATACTTCATGGATCAAACACTCAATTAATTGAATTATCTAGTTGGTATGCAGGTACATGCCAGACAGAGTTATTGTTACAGAATGGACAAATTTGGTATATAAACTCAAGGTGCTGGAAATGCCTTTGTTTATTTGTTGTTATTTCATTATTGTCTATTCATGATAATTTGGAATGCAGCATTAATTTTAATATCTGAAAAAAAATTGTGCATAATGCTCTGATCTGTCCTTTTTGTTTGTGTAAGACTCCTATTGATGTAAGCAGTTCAGCAAAACTGGGTGGCATTTGAAATTGAAAAATTATTCAGCACTTTACATAAAATACATTTGAAAGTTTGTACCAGGGTGAATGAAGTTATCTGAGCTGAATAACAAATGATTTATCATGTGATGCTTGCTGCACTGCAGGCAGTAACTGGGTGGGTACTCAACGCGTTGCTTCGCACAAATGCAAAGAGCTTTTTGCATGTTCCAGCTTAGAAATACTGTGAGCCATGGCTTGAATTTGTGTTTGGTTTAGAATTTCTAGTTCTCACTTCGAATTTTGTAGCTGCAGGTGTGCAGTGCGACTGAGCATGTTCAGTGAGGAAGCCTGGGGGATTTCGTGGTACTTTGAGCACCGGTGGTGGGTCCTGGTCACCCCTGGCCAAGCAGAGCAGAGAAGATGAATGTGCTTAAAAAGGCATTGGGGATGTAGGCCTCTCCTACTCTTCAGACTGATACAGTTGGAAGGAAAGTGTAAAAGCATAGGTACCTGTGTGGCTTCTTCCCCCTCTTCTGACTCTGGGTACTCTCCAGCACTCTTCAGTGTTGAGTTGCATATTCTCAGGCAGCACCTTCCTTTTTGGCTCTCCATTTGCATGTTTTTCAGTGTAAATTATGTGGCCATGGGACTTTAAAAAGAGCTGCATTTATAGAACTTTGTGTATGCAAATGGTAAAGGAAGTATCTGTTACTACACTTAGCCCAGAGTAATTTTATATCCTTGCTAATTAAACAGTATCTAAAATGGAGATTATAGGCTTTCTACGAAAAGGACTTGCCTCGATAATGATCTTTGAAATGTCACAAGAGTTTTTAGAGCTGTTTTCAAACTTAAACAGAGTAGGGGTAAGCAAAATCATGGCTTCCTTGAAGTATGTCTGAGTAGGTGTACAAAATATTTAATATCTATTCTTGAGATTAGATAAATCTCAAATAATGATATTGCTGTATTGACCATGTATTAGTCTACAAAAGGTACAGTGGAGCTTGAAATGAAGAGACTGAAAAGAATTGTACTTTATGAATGTAATTGTGGTGGGAGAATTATTAACTCTTAAAATTTGAAAGTGGTTCAATGAGATTTAGATATATCTGCATAGTTAATATATAACTAACTAACATTAAGCCTGCGATATAAATGAAGAATTATCATCATGAGAAAGTGATAGCAATCTGGTTACTCAAGCACACCCCAAAGCTTTTGTGGTAACCTTTCTTGTACAAAAATAATTAGAGGTTGGTCAGCTGTAGGTATTTACTGGCATGTTACTCTGTTACGGTGGTAGCAGTAATTCCTGGGGGCTATTGTTAGATATTGGAGGTGAGGGGAGGAGAGGTTTCTTCAGCTCTTGTCAGCAGAGATGTGTGGTGAGTATGCTTTTACTATCTTTTTCCTTAACTAAATGAAACTGTTAAGTGCTTCACAGGTCTGCAAGCTCTTAGACCTCTCTTTGTCGTCTTCTCCATGAAGCAGAGAGAGCAAGCTGCTAGTGATGGGTCTGAGCAAACCCAGCTCTCACCTTCACCTAGGCACTTAAAATCTGGATCTGAAGTTTCTGTTTCTGAATGTTTCCTAATTGGATAGTGGTCATATTTGGAGAAGTACCTAATAACTTTCTTCAGCTCATTAGTTCTCATTTCTAATAACTTTTTCCTTTTATTAGGAATACATAATCCGTGTTCAGAGAGGAGTTTCAGCAGAAAACAGTTGGCAGGTAATTTCTTTAAACTGTGCTTCATGTAACCAGCATGCTTTTTTAGGAAGAACTTGAAAATTGTCTCCCTAGCTTTTTAAATTTGAGCCGGAGAGGGAAGTGTTGGTTTGGAATTGAGAACATGAAGTGCTTGAATACTTTTGGTCAAAAACTAAGAGAAAAACAGTATTGCTGCCAGCTACAGAAGGCATGTTGTCTGCTGCTATTGTGAATATTCTAGGAAAAATGCCTGTCGTGTTACTACTATGTATTGGTATAACCATCATTTTTAAATCTTAAATGCCGTTTGCCTTTCTTAGTGCTAAAATCACAGCCTTGCTGATACATGACCAATGAAACCTAGAAGTACTAATGAAGATGTCTATGAAAAGTTGTTGCATCTAATATGGCAAAAATGCTTTGTTTGCAGCTTTGGTCACAAGTATTTTTTTAAGCTGTGTTAAGATAATATTTAGAAATGCATTTTCGTCCTGGTCGAGATGTGATGAAAAACTCTTCCTTGCTCTCTGGCAACGTGACATAAATCCAGCAAAAATGGTTAAAAGGAGAAGATTATAAATGGGAATTACTTTTCTTTGATAGGATTTTGAAGAGTAAAATGCTAATGGGAAAAGTAGTATGTTTCCTGAATTTTGCCTTTATATTTTGCAGATTGTGAGGCGATACAGTGACTTTGACTTGCTTAATAACAGCTTGCAGGTAACTTTCACCCTTGATATATAAATATAAAATGTCATTTAGAAGGATATATTTAAAATGACTTGTGATATTTTTATATATTGCAGTGAAGAAAAAATACGAATTCACATAGCTGTAAAGAGAAACTGTGACTTCAAATGTAAATTGAATATATACTTTTTTCACTCATGTTTTCTCTTGTAAAATTTTAATTTTAGCATCAACAGGACCAATTTATATAGAAATGGAGGAAATTGGCAGATACTGATTCTTTCCCTTCAGTACTGTGACTTGTTCCGGTTTTATGTGTTATTATTTGTTCCTCTTTTGATTCGAAGAAAGCCAAGGCACATACCAACCTTATAAATTCAGCCTTGAAGTGCTATGTGTCTCATTATTTATATTCGTCTAAAAGCACTACCAGATGCTGCTTATCATGTGATGGTTTTCTGTATCACTGGAAAATGTTCCTTCGTTAAACACTGGACTTACTGTGTGTTTCCTTTTGCTTTTTAGGACAATTATTTCTTTTCAGTTTGTGTGGGAAAAAACAGGGTATATGAGTGTGTTTGGGAAGAGGGGGGAAGCAGCAGTGACTAGCATCTACAGGAGTGAAACCTGTTACTCAAGATTTCCATAGCACTATGCAAGCAAGATAAAAAGTGAATGCTGCTGCGATTTGAGGATAGGTTTTTGTGACTTTGAAATTTTTTCCCGTTAAATGTTGTGTGAATTCAAGAGCTTAATACTGCTTCCACTTTCCCTCCCTCCTCCCACCCCCCATCAAATCAGCTATCTGCTTGATGAACCTCAGTGAGCAAAAACACGTAAGGATGTTGAATTGTGCACTGATAGTCAGCTATAACTGATTCTTATGTTAGAAGGTGGATGGGGGAGCAAATTAGTCGTAATTCAACAGATGCAACATGGTTGCATTGTGGAATTATTTTACTGAATGTGCAGTAGCACGTAGGAACTTATATCATGACCTAGAAACGTCTTGTGTGATGTGCTGAATAAATGGAATACAAAGATGTCTCCTGCTCCAAAGAAATCCAAGATTTAAGATTAGATAAGCACCCATGGGAACATAAGGAAATGAGATGGTACTAGTCCGTCACAGTACATAGTGGTCATTGTAGTCTTAACCATAGTCAAGTTTTGATGGAGATCACAGAGAGAGTATTTTGAAAAGGTTTTAAAAGGAAGAAAGAGTTCACTTTTGCAGCCACCTGTAACAAGCTCCTCTTAACCGTGGGGAATAGAATGTGTTAAGGCATGAAAAAGCTTTGTTGCCATCTCATTTAACTTTCAAATGAGGCAGCTTTAGTAGAAAAGGCAATGGACCTTTAAGACTTACAATTTAGAAATGGCAGGTACTGAAAGGTTAGGCCTAGGTGGAAGGTCTAGAAAGTGAAGGTAAATAGGTTATGTATGATGTAGTACAGAAAGAAAAGGCCTTTGCGTCTGAGACAGAGGTGAATGATAAAAGTGGAAGGTTCAGGAAATTATTTGAGAGCACCTTGCGGAGTGGGACAAGGAGGAATTTGAAATGAGAGCGAGATTTTGCAGCTATAAGATACGAAGACCTGCGACAAAAATGTCAGCTGCTTGGATGGCTAGAAAAGATAAAATAGAATCATCAAGACATACCTGTAACTTGGATAGGAGGGTATGCAGAGGGTGGCTAAATTAACAGGTTGTGTTCATTAGCACTTGCTCTCCTTCAGTGAAAACTACTGCTCACCCCTTGATGTTCAAACTCCTGTTTCTGCTTTCCACAGTCTGGAACGGCAAAGACGTATCTCTGCTTGGAGATAGCCTTTTCTGGCTAGTACAGAGAGCCGCCCTAAGAGGTGTAATTCTTCATTATGTGCCCAGCAGAAGGGCAGGAAGAGAGTTTTAAGCCTTCATCAAAGATGCACAGCTCTGCTTTTGACAAACACCACTGCTCCTCCAGCCTAGTTCCGTATGCCAGGGCTTGAGAGACAGCAGACAGTAGCTGGCAAGAAGCATGTTAAAATTGCTCTTTTCTCCCACTGTTTGGAGTTTTTTTTATAAATTGCTCTTTGTGATGCTGGAGCTGAAGTTTTCTGATCTATTAAGACATGCAACACTCCTCAGTTCTTTCCATCCAGAACTCTAAGCAACAATATTTCATCACACTATTCAGGTCCCATGACTTGTTTTTAAACTCATAGAACTCTCATCTTGTGTGTATTGAAATTAGAGTAAACAAACAAACAAACAAAACTCCCCCCCCTACTATAAAGCAATGAGCAGTAAGAAGATACCAAAACTCAATCTCCTTCCTTCAAAACTAAAATGTTGCTAGAAAAACTGCTGGAGCTTCTTTCGGGTGTAAAGCCCCAAGTTCTTCCAGTTCTTATGGCACACTTGACCTCTCTGTAGGTTTGGGTGGTTGTGTTTGAACACACAGCTGCAGTTGAGTTGGAATGCAACTTCTCTGCTGTTAATCTTGTGCTACCTATGCAATAATAGTAAGGATTAAGAATTTCCAAACTGTCTAGGCTAGGGGATGCAGTCCTGCCAAACATCTTGGAAATAATGAGAGGTGTATACCTGCATCCCTGATCTGCATCAGAAAGTTTCAAGCCGGATTCCCTGAACTCTCAGCTGCGTACTGGATTGAAAACCTCCTTCCAGACTGTCGTGCATTTCCTCCTCTTCACTTATTTGATGGAGATGTGTGGAGATCATTGTCCGCTCTTCTGTTCTATTAAGTGAACTACTGGTACAGTATTTGCAGCAAGATATCTGGCTTTTGTGAAGCATTTTATTGCAGCTTTTGAACAGACATTCCTGAGTGGGCTGTGGTTTGAAGATAAGAATGTTAATTCCCAGGTTCTTCTGCGGGAAAGCCCATCCTGGCTCCAGTGCTGAGCTGGGGCCACTGAGAAGTACTGCTCGTGTTTGAAAGCATGCAAGGTCTTTGCAAGGTCGGGATCTCAGTGAGGTGTTCTTTTGTGGTAGACAGTGTTCTCACTGTGCTATGTGTTTTGGCAGATCGCTACAAAAACCTGGGGGTGAATGTTACTTTCTGCTGAAAAATAGCAGATGTGTGGTTTATTGAAATAAATTTTAAAACAAATGATAGTGGTTTGAAAACATCTGAACTAGAGTCCTTTTCTCTCTGACGGTAGCTAGCTGTCAGGTCAAGAACGTAAAGGTGATTATGATTTGATGTGCTTTTCAAGTGAGTAATACCAGGCATGGATTTAGTTTTTGTTTAGAAACTTGTTTTTGAATTGAAGTAAGAGTGGTCTGACAAATGAAAGTATTGTATGCCTCTGGTGTTACAGCCAGTAATTGACCAAATTAGTTTTAAGTGGTATATTGCTGCTTTTGGGTTTATTCCTGGATATATATATTTTCACCCCTTGGGTGTAAGAGAGCATTAAAAATGCTCAGTGGATAGGATGACTTTTATTAACGTCCTCTGTAATTCAGGTGTAGTTATAGCTCTTTTTCAGCCCATGATTTGCAGTCAGAAACAGGAGAAGTAGAAGTGCTAAGGTTAGCAGGGGACAACTCCTGTGTTCAAAAGGAGGGGGGAAAAAAAGGAAAGGGATTGCTACTTCTGAACTAATCCTTTACTTTTTCCACTAGTTAAAATGAAAGTTGTTCAACCACCAAAAGTCCCGGTCTTCTCCCTGGTGAACTGTTTGCTTTAGAAATTGAGGTTATTGTATCTGGTGTAATTGATTCCTGCAGTACACATTTCTTAAAGATAACTCCCATGGAGACTCAGCATACCCAAGGCAGGTGCTTTGATCTGCAGGACAACAACGTGTTAACAACATGAAAAATTTATTCTGGCAATTCACATGACATAATTGAATGTAAACACTGTGTGCAACCTAGTTTTGTTTTCTAAAGATGATCTCTTTGATCTGACTTACATAAGGCTTTGAATTTCTGCACATTTTTTCATCGTCCTATTTCGAAGTATTTCTCATTTTATCTGAAGTTTTGGATCACTTCCGTCAACATAAAACAACTACTGCACATCCACTGGTAGATTGCAGCTATTTCTGGGTTGAAAGATGTATAGCTGTTTAAAAACTATACAGCAACAAATTCAGAAGAGAAAATGGAAAAGTTGCACCATATTTGAAATTACAGATTTAAAATACTGACAGTAAGGGCTTTAAATTACCTATAAAGGCCGTAGAGGCAAAGGGAAGTTATTAATCTGCACTTCATGAAATAAGAAAGCGTAAATCTTAGCCAGAGAAAACGTTAAGGTGTGAATTGTTTTTGTGCTGTGGCAGAGGTATGTCATAGAAAGGATTTGGCTGAAAATTGTACCCATTTAGTATTTGAAAGTTTTGTGTAGTGATCTTAAATGCATGACTCACTAACAAAAATTTATCTCCTTGCATTTTCAGTGTCGTTCCACTTACTAATCTCTTCACAGTGGGATGCGAGCTGTTGTCTGACTAGCTCACCCTGATAACAGTACTTAGAAAAAACATAAAAGCTTGTATATACACAGTACAGGAAGAGTTATCCAGTAGTTAGCTTGCTGCTGAGAGTCTTTTACTTTCTGGGTTGTTAGTTTATATCCCTGAGGCATTTTGAGAGCAAGGTTACTAATTTTTCCTCTCTTTTTAAGATCTCAACTCTAAGTCTACCTCTTCCTCCAAAAAAATTGATTGGAAATATGGAGCGTGAATTCATAGCTGAAAGACAGAAGGGACTCCAGGCCTATCTTGATGTAATTACTACCCATCACATACTGTCTAACTGTGAACTGGTAAAAAAATTCTTGGACCCAAACAGCTATTCTGTAAACTACACTGGTAAGTGAGGAACTGCAAAACTGCATTACAGCTTCACTTTTACACTGGAGCATGGGGGGGTGGAGGGGAGACCAACCTTCAAAATTATCATACTGTGCATGTGATTATTTATGATAATGTTTCCCCAGCTCTGTGCATGAATCATGCTGTGATTGTCAAATCTAAATATTTGAATTATTTTACAGAGGAGTGATGAGGGTCAAGATCTATATAAGCAGAACTTTGGGGGAGGGGGGTTGGTGAGAGCGACATCTACTTTTTCATGGTTCATGATAAATGGGGAGCATTGGTGTTTGGAAATTATTTTTCTACCACAGCATAAGGTGGAGCTAAGTTTGTCAGCTCTGTGTTCTGTTAAAACAGCTGGTCTTCTGAACACTGAACATTGCATTCGTCATGGTTCTGAGGTTTTTCAAATCAACAGGAACAATTGTGGTCGTCTTGTCTAGCTCCCACTATCAGTTCAGGTTGTGAGACTTCCTAGAACTAATTGAGCTAGGTTGAGTACTTTTTCAAGGCTTTAGTAAGTCATACACCCCTTCCCCCCAAATACTGGAAAATCACTGCATCCCTTAAAATGATATCTCAGTGATAAGTTCTCTTTTTTGTTATTAAAATTATTAAACGTTTCTTCTTTGAATTTGTCTGACTTCAGCTTCAGCCATTGGAAATTGTTAAATATTTGTCTTACAGACTGAAAAAAAACTTCCTCTTAGCAATGAAATCCACTCCACAGATTCAGTTCATGGGCAGACTGACTCTTTGCAAAATGCAAAGCTTGTTTTCGTAAAAGCAGAGCCTACTGAAGCAGGAACTTACTGCTTCCTTTCCACTTGTCTTTTTGCTCTCCCTTTATGTAACATTCTTGTGTCTTCAGCTTCAAAGTGCAAAGAACATTTCCCGGATGTTTATGATAAGCTGTGGAGGAGTTGTAAATTATTAGTAACAGTTTAAAGATGCAGTTTGGCTGGCTAATGCTGAGCAAGCAATTGAAATCCTCAAGGAGACACTGTGTTAATTTTGAGTGCTTTCATCAAGTTTTTTTTTTTTTTTCAGCAAGTTGCTGGGGGGGTAGTAGCAATCAAATCATTGCCTATGGTCTTTGGAAACACCATCAGTTTGTAATTTCTTAAATACTGGAGTAGTGAGCTGATACTTATTGCACTGTTCTCTTTTTCCTAGCCTATTTAAGGAGAGAGAAGATACAGTGCAGAAAGATTAGCACATCCTTACCTTTTTGCTGTGTTTCTATGCCAAGATAAGCCATGGTAGAGAAAACTCATTCTTGGCATGATTCCCTTTCTCCCCCTGCTGTCACCACTTCTCACTGAGATTTCCCCTCAAATTGCTTCATGAATAAACCAGTTGTGTTCCCAGCTGTGGGAGAATTCAGTAACCAGAAGCATGACCTTCCCCCCACCCCAAAATGTGTGTTGAATCATGATAGCTAGAAAAATACCTTTGCTGGCACAGAAAAGGACAGAATAACACATAATGAAACAGAACTGATTAGTTTACGTGTAGTAATGGCAATGTAGATGCACATTAAAGAGAGGTAAAAGCACTTTTACAGGTATAGCAGAAGCATTTCGTGATCTAATGCAGTGTGGGAAATATTCACTGTGAGTATTGGATTTGGACTTGGAAATGTAGATCTAGCACAGACAGAATGCAAACTCAGTAAGCTAAGTTTTTTTTAATGCAATGCTTTCTCCATTTTCTCTGTGGATTTCAGTTCTCAGGTTAAAAATGCAAACGCCCTTTAACTGTGTCTTTTATCTGATTTCCTTTTAAAGTGATTTTGCTGACTTTCAGTCTGAATTCCTGCAGGCTTCCTTCTGGCATTGAACCTTACCTGACATGTGGATAATCATCTTAAGTAGTCTCTTAAAAACTTTTTCAAATTTTTTTTCTTTCCAGAAATTGCCTTACAGCATGTTTCAATGTTCTCCCGATCAGAGCCAAAGTGGGAAGTGGTAGAACCATTAAAAGATATAGGTAAGAAGAGCATGTATGCATGAAAACGAGTCTGATTTTTTTTTTCCCCCCAACTATATGAGTTGTCTTGAGATTACAATACTATCTTTGCTTAGAGACCTTGTCCTGCCTGTAAGCCATATGATTTAGTAGTGTTTTAATTAAAGCTGTTGATGACTCTTCTTTTGTAGGTTGGCGAATACGTAAGAAATATTTCTTAATGAAGATTAAGAATCAACCAAAGGAACGGCTAATGTTAAGCTGGGTATATATACTTTAATCTCATACTCAAGTCTTTCTTAATGAACCTGGCTTATTTCATTTATATTGACTACCATGTGTGAGTGACAAAGAGAGAGACTTAAGAGCTCAGGCTTTGAAAGAGCCTTGAAAGCTCTTAGGTGGATGTGTGGTGTGGGAACTTCTTATGTTTCTTTTCTCTGGTGGCAAATCCAGTATGCAGGTTTCTGTGCCTGGTCATTTGCTCCCATTCTTGCACCCCTGTTTCTGCAGTTGTAATGATGTAGCTGTTGACCGTAGTATACATTTGCTCACTGAAAATGACAAGGTGATCCTTTTTAAAGTGGTGGGTTTCCTTACTCGGATGTTTAGCTTTACCAACAAACTAATAGGTGGGAGAAGCATGAATTGCTCCTTTAAGGTAGACATGTATTGACACCAAATAGTTTGTTGTTACTAAACACTTGCTTGTGTTCCTGTGCTGAAATGTGCTGCCCTCTTAATTATATCAGCATAGCTGTTTGTGAGACTTCACTGGAGAGCAGATACCACTAAAGCCTGCAGTAGGAGGGAAGGTTTTTTTGCTGGAGAGGAAGAAGGTGGGGTTTAAGCCTTATCAGTTTACAATGCACACAGTTGTCAAGTTTGGGGTTGGCAGAGTCCAATCAGTGGTAGTAATGCATGTCAGATACAGAGGAGGAAGCAGGCAATAATACTTACTGTCAGCCACTTTGTATTGTGAAACCATGGCCTTATTCAGCCTCTTCAAATTTCATTCTGTATGTAATTTCCTTGCTTGCTCTTCAAAATATACCTTCAAGTAGCTGTCTTAATTTGTGAGAGCAGAATATAGATCACATTTTCTGTATGGAGTGCAACATCTATTATGATGCCATTCTTTTCCTATTTATTTACAGGCTGATCTTGGCCCTGATAAATACTTGTCTGACAAAGACTTGCAGTATGCTGTGAAACTTCTTTCTTCCTGTTCTGTGAGTATTACTAGAAGACTTTTAAATTGTGCCTGCACAAAAGTGCTTGTCAAGGACTGATCTTGCAAAGTACATGTAGCCTAGTAGACATAGTTTGTAATTTTAAATTTAAAGGTGTGTGAACCTTTTAATTACATTTCCCACACAATATGAGGTAACGTTCTCAGCACAAATAATAATCCTACAGGATTATTACAGGAGATTCAGAGTTGTGGTTAATTGTATTTTTTTCTTCTTGTGCAGTAGTGTGAGATCATGAGTTTTTATTTCAGCTCCAACACTTTTAGGCTGTTAGGATAGTGCTGTCTAGGTGTAATTGCTAACCCATGTGCTGGGGGTATTCTCAGGCAGCAGTGGATAAGGCAGTGCAACAAGTGTCGTTATTTTTTCAGTTCTTTAATCTTAGGACGGGAATATCTTGGTAGAGGTACAGGGGAGGCTGTACAATTTAAGCTCCTGTGCAGTGCCACATTATAAATCCAATAGGCACCTCTGTCTGAAAACCTGACATTTGACTCCAAAAGGAGTTTCTCTTTAAGGATGTTAAGATGTGAGAGACTGGCTGAAAAGGATGGTATTTAAACTAGTAAACCTCTGTGCAGTTTTGGAGCTCAGCAGATGCACACAACAGAAGAGGCTGAAAACTAGGCTTTTCAATCCCCAAACCAGACTGAAACCAATGTATTAAAATAGGACATGAACAAGGGGTCTTTTCGTAACTTGCAATTCAATTAAAGTATATGTTGTATGTGTAATTTATTTCCAACTGTGCTGTCTCATTTGGTTTCACAAAGTTGCAGGAAGTTGTTACAATAATTTCTGAAGACATAAAACTGTTATGACAGCTATTAATGCCAGGTTTCCTTATGTGCCATAGTTGTATAAAACCATGAATGAATTTATTAGCTTAGCATGACTTAAGCCTGCAGTAAAGCTGCTCATGTGTAAGTATTAATGGGGCTGGATTCTTCATTTGTCTAAACTGCCAGTCTGTTTTGTTAAAAAAAGATGGTAGATTTTTTTTTTATTATTATTTATCTGGAAATTGAACCATGTCCTTGTGAAGTTTTCTTTGCATTTACTCCAGGTTAAGATTGAATAAGTTGAGCAAATATCACTGACAGAATCCAATTTATTACTTTAAACATACAATTCAGGCAGATCTTTTCTTCCTTGTGAATTGAGCAAAAATTAATTACAGAATCTGTCATCTAGAACTTACCTACAGTTTCTTCTTTTGGTAGCATCCCTATATTTACAAAATCACTTTTGCCACTGCCAATGAATCTTCAGCGCTGGTTGTTAGACCATTCAGTGAAAAAGGCACGCTAAAGGACCTTATTTATAAGGTAATGTCTCCCTCCTGCCACCCCCAACTCAAATGGTAGAATGTTTGCTGGAATGATCATAGTATGTGTTTTATAAAACTGTTTACCATCCATTGCTAAGCAAACTAAGAAAATTACTGGCTTTTCTGGGCATGATACTTGATATGTGTGTTTCTTTTAAAGGCAAAGCCAAAAGACCCGTTCCTGAAGAAGTATTGCAATCCCAAAAAAATTCAAGGTCTTGAACTTCAGCAAATAAAAACATATGGAAGGCAAATATTAGAGGTATCTTTTCTTTTTGCTTTATTTGCCAGCCTTTTGATTAATTTTTTTTTTTGAGGCCAACTGGTTTAACTAGAAAAAGTAGACAAACTTTTGAGCACGGAAGCTTTATTTCAGCAGCAGACTTCAAAGCTAAATGTAAATTGAGATTAGCTGCTGGGAGTTGAATTTAGATATCTATGTGTGAGGCCATGCCTGACCAAAAAAAAAAAAAAAAAGGTGGTACGTGTGGAGCTGAAGTGGGAGAGGTGTGGTAATGTAGTTTTTTCCTTAAGGGAAAAGGGAAAGAAGTAATTCATAGCCTGCAGAACATGTGCCATAAATTAATTGTCATTAATGTGTTTTTTAAAATTTTTATTCAAACTATAATATTCAGTAGAATTGTGAATTTTAGTTTCCAGATCTCTGTGGGAGGTGTCTACAGGCCTGCTTTGAGGATCAGCATCAAATGTTTGTTTTGTGACAAATGTTACCAGTGAAATGGAAATGAATATCTAGTGAAAGATGATGTAGAAGATCAAGTTGAGCAAGCATTCCAAATAGGGGCCTCTTTTATTACATATCTGCTTTAGTATTGGAGCATTTAAGATCTTGAGATCATCAGAGCATCTTCTGACAGTGGTCCTGTCTTGGATTTTTTTCAGGTATTAAAATTCTTGCATGAGAAAGGATTTCCTTATGGCCATCTTCACTCTGCCAATGTGATGCTGGATGGGGACACCTGCAAGTTACTGGATCTGGAAAATTCCTTGTTGGGCCTTCCATCATTTTATCGATCATACTTTTCACAGTTTCGGAAAATTAATGTAAGATTCAGACAATTAATTCAGCTGACTCTTATGCATCCCTTTATCCTCAACTTCTGTTTGTGGAGAACTGACTAAAATGAAAAAAACCTCTCTCAACCCCCTTTCTTTAATATGAATTTTTCTCCATCAAACCCCTTTTCTGCTTCCTCCAAATCACTGTCTGGCTGCACAGAAGTTGTGTTGCAGCACACTGGAGTGAGGCTGAGGCCAAAGGTAAGCAGGTAGAAGGTGAGTGCAGGTGAGTGTTTTTGTGACAGCAGTGCTGGCACAAATAGAGGTAAACTGTAGTTGTTTTAAGATGTCTTTCCACCCTGGTCTTGTATTTCATAGGAACATGCATATTGTCTACCACACTTTTTCACTTGTATGTCTGTACAATGAGCGCAGCTTATTACTTGGTCTTAGTTAGGAGTAGTAATCGGCCTTTTCTTTGGTGGATACTGTGAAAATTGATCAGATGCTTGCAGATGTCTAGCTATTAAAAGATGTTTTTTATTTGTTTGAAGGGTATCTCTTAACTGCAGGCTTGCAAAGCAAAATATTATCTTCCTACAAAAATATGAAAACAAATTTGCCCCATTGCAGCAATACAGTCTTTTAGCCAGCATCTTGCCCTGCCTTTAAGTGCTCATTGTAATAAATGCCATACAGCATCACGAGACAGCTGCTTGCTGACCTTGCTAAACAAGTTCTACTGTGTTGTCAAAGAAACGATCAAAAGTTCATGGTTAGTCCAAATCTGTTAGTGCCATCAAAGCTCTAAGCCTCTTCCAGTAAGAAGAGCTATTTCTGTTTAAACATGATTCAAATATCTTGGAAATACGCTGTCTGGGAGCTGAGCATGTATGTACAGCTTGTACAAACCTAAGGAGGAGTGAAAGAGACTCCTGCGTTTGGTTGGTATGCATTTTTGCTGTCTTACCTACCTCCCTGTAAACTGACAGCTGGTCATATTATGAATCTCATTCTTTGCTGTTTGACTTAGCTAGGAAAATGTGCTTGGTTGTGATGTGTATGGCTCTCTAAACTGCTGTGTATGAAAAGAGTTTACTACTTCATGCATTTTTACAGAACATGACTGTACTGCTATCCCATTTGTATCATCACATAAAGACAGGAGTAGCTTCTTTAGCTTGAGGTGTGAAGATTTCATTTGAGCTGCAGTTACGCAGGGAAATGGTTGTGGTTAGGAACTGTCTTAATGGTTCCTCTTTTCTATATTCAAATGCAAGACCACTTTTTCTTTAATATGTTATCACATGTTTTCAAAACAGTTGTGAAAAACTGGTTAGTTCTAGCAAGTTGTGTTTTTATTTTTTTGTTCTTCCACAGACTTTAGAAGGTGTTGACGTACATTGCTTTGGACACTTATTGTATGAAATGACATACGGAAGACCCCCAGATACGATTCCAGTAGACAGCTTCCCTCCTGCACCATCAGTGTTTGTTGGTTAGTACACAATCCAGGAAATGTCAGTCTCAGCTTCCTGAGTACTGTCACCTTTTACCTAAGCTGAAGTGCTGTGATATAACAGCCTAAGATCTCTGCAGCCTGTGACTGGGAAGAATTAGTTAGTAATTTGTAAAAATAGAAAATGTGTTCTTCCTGTAATGTAGATAGCATATAAATAAAACCTCTTTTTTTTTTTTTTTTTTTTTAACTGAGTGATAAAGCAGTATGTAATAAGTAATTAGATGTCTGGATTCCCTTGCCTCATGTCTAACATTCTTGAAAAGTTTGTATGTGTAATACTAACATTATAATAAAAACCACATGCCACAGAGCTTCATCACTGCTTAGTTGATACAATACTTAGGGGCCAGATGTTCATTCTAAATCATTCGCTATCATGCCGTGCAAAAATGTGTTCATTCTTATTCTTGCTTTGGTAGTGTCTGTGTTGGAATCCATTCTGACCTGTGAAGCTATGAAGAATGGCATGCCAACTGTTTCACGGCTCTTACAGATGCCGTAAGTCTTGTTTTACTTGTTTTATACTCACAGCAATGTTTTTAATTATAGTAGGAGGAAGAACCTTTTTGCTCTTGTTCCTTTTCAGAAAGATTTGTTCCTCATTCTGAAGGATGTATAGTGCATCCCAAATGAAGCTTTAAAATTGATAGGCTTTGTAGAACCCATCCCTTGTGAATACGATAGATGCTCATTTAACATTTCTCTGTCTCCTGGTGTGTTGGAGCTGTTAAGAATGCATTTTATTTAGCATGGTGCTATAGTTTAAATTGATCCAGCTAGTAAAGTAGTGCAAGCATGATTAGGATCATGTACAGATTGTTTTAAAGCATTTAGAATAAGGAGTCTTTTTGCATGTCCCCTTCAGACCTACTTCAGTAGATTTTACTATCAGTTTACTTACAACTAGCAAAATAGATCTCTTGCTTTGCTCTGCAGTGACATTTAGACTGGGTCTGGGTGTGAAATGTTGTGTAGAAGTTCTGGCTGGTTTCTTGCAGGGCTGGCTTAGGGATTCTCTGAAGCATAGACAGAATAAATTTCCTTACAGGCTGTCCTCCCAATGATGCAGTGAAGTGGTAAGGCAGGTATGGGGCAAGACTAGGATGCAGAAAGGGAGCAATGTCAGTGCGTGACTGAGCTGGAGATGATTACCTGTCTGCAGTACCGCCCTTCCTGCAATTGGGAGACAAGTATTACCAGGGAAGTTGTCTGCTGTCACTGTGCTGTGACATGTCACCAGCATGCTGAGCATAGAACCGCGGTTCCTAGTGAGGAGTGCTTTTATTTTTTCTTAATATAAGGTGCCAGAGTCATGACCTTATAAATGACAGATTGCCCATGCCTAAATCTGGGTCTGGTCTCACAGTAAACAGATTGCAGTACATTTAGAGCATGCCCCAAGATTTGTGTTTCCTGGTTGGGAAAAGACACTGCAGGCTTGTCTCAGCCTTCGATTCCTTCTACTCCTCCCTTACTCTGCTCTTAAAGGATGTGGGAGGTAGAGGGGAGAATGTAAGCAGGGGAGAAATACTGTAAGAAAACTCTGTGAATACAGGAATATACAGGTGTTAAAAGATGTTGAACAAACAATCCATGCCCAGCTGTATCTGATATGTAGGATATTATACCACACTCCTTTCACAGCAATACTCTTCACAACTGTTCTATGTTGATGTGCAATGCAATTAATGTAACTTAAATATTTATTGAGCTTTATTATTTATTATAACCATATAAACTATGAGTTTGCTTAATTTTGCAAGGACATGTAATCAGAAAGGGTCAGAAAAATGCCCTGTAAATAAGGGTTGAACATTCATGGGTTTTTTAAAAGTCTTTTAAGATTTGATTTGTATTTGAATTTTTCATGGAATACTGTTCTTACAAGCTTGATTTTAGACTTGAATTTGTTTGCTCTGGTATAGGCCTGTGATAATTTTCTATAGTGAACAGCAATAAAAAAATCTCTGAAATCTTTATCTCGGAGCCAGGCGTGAGATCTCTTTCTGGGACAGTTTTCTAGTATGTTCTTCAGAACAAAGTATCCTGAAAGGGACTAACAGGTTTATTTTCAGACTGCCATTGCCCTCTAGTGTCTTTGTTTTGGATGCAAAAGGATTAATCATTTATGCTGTTGCTGTTGATACCGTAGAGGGGAGAGCAAAAATATTAGACTATTTGCTTTAGCTGCCTTTGCCAGAGTACAGACAAGAATGCAGATATTTTCAAATGTTAAGTTCACTTATTGATCTTTCACATTGTTCTTGTTAATGCTAAAACAACAGTTATGCTGAGAGAGTTTTCTTAAAAAGAACAATGATTTTGTTTAGGTGAAATGAAAAATAAAGTCCCTAGTAATCTTTTGTCATTAAAGAATCCATATACTTTTAAGGAAAAGGCATTCTTCTTGTGGGGAAACCCTTCTCTGCCTTTGCTAATTGTACCTGTTCTATCAGCTTTCAAAATACTTCACACAGTCTTGCTAACTGCCATCACTACTGGCTACATTCTGAGGGCTGAATGCTGCTAATTTTACGGCAGTGCTTGGAAAATAAAAAGCAGTACATAAAAACCTGTGGAAAAAAAAAAAAGCAGTGGCCTAGGATGAGGACAGAGATGGAAAAGGAGAAAGAGGGAGTTAAGTGAAGAGAACCAGTAGTATTCTTGCTGTGGTTCTGCCTATCTCTTGGGAATAATACTCTGTTTTTTTTTTCCCTCCTCTGTGTTTTTTCGTCCACTCACAGATTATTCAGTGACGTCCTGCTAACAAACTCCGAGAAACCACAGTTTAAGGTAGAGTTGAATGTTGATTTGCTGATGTTTGTGGAAGTGCCAGGCTGTGGGTAAGCTATGCATTAACTGACAAATAGCGTAGAGGAGAGCTGGCTTTATTTGACTTTATGGCGATTGCCACCAGTATTTGGATTCCTTTGGTGAATTGTACCCAAGAATGTTGTATCACCCCTTAGAAGGGGGGCACAGTGTGACCCATGAGTATGCAAGTGTAATTCCTGTGCTGGAGCTAATTTGTGTGACTGATGATGGTGCTCTATCTGAGCGGAGGCTGCTAAGTAATATGGGTCTGTTGCCGCAAGAGGAAATGAATTGCTAACACCTGTGGAAACTGATTTTGCTGGGTGACACCACCAGCACATTGTTGCCAGCTCCAGCGCTGCAGTGCTGGGACTTTTGGGCAGCCACATCTGTTCCCACTGGGGAGCTGCCCCAGGGCACTTCTTCCAGAGGGCATGTGCTGTGTCTTGTGTTGTTAGCCTCATGGCAGTTTGGGGATGGGACCGGAGTATCAAAACAGTTAGCTGTCCCTGCCATTAGAATATCCCTTCCATTATTCAGTGTTTCTTTGTCCCTGCTGTTAGATCTGTAGCTAGTTTTGGAGTTAAAACATGCATCTGGAGTCTTCTTTTCTCCTTCACTAAGGGAATAGTGTCAGAACCTCGGGCTTTAAATGGGCAACGTGATCAGATGAATGGTGAGTTTTGAGCAGTGAAGTTATGTTTTCATTTATCATGTTTTGTGCTATGATTTTTTTTTTTCCCCCATTTTGTATTAGATTCCTACTAAGCTAAAAGAGGCATTGAAAACCTCCAAGGAATGCATAGAAAAACGGTTAACAGAAGAACAGAAATTGGTAACGTCTGCATTTCTTTACTGTATTTCCTACAGACATTCCATTTCCTCTTATCACTTTTACATGGTGAAAGTGAGTTTTTACTCACTCAAAGTGACTTTGACTAATAAAGTCTTTCATCAACAGATTTGCTTTCCCAAAAATGCAGTACAAGGAGCTGTAGAACATCTGTTGACTGTATGGTATTTCACTGTTTTAAGTGGTGCAGCTTCACAGGCAGTGGCTCCTAAGTTAAATGATCATTTTAACTGCAGGATAAGGCTCCATCCTCTGCCAGCAACAGTAAAGATAAAACCTAAAAATGAAAAAAGAAAACTAAACATGTAAAGTGACTACAGTGTGTTTTCTTGTACCCCAAACATATGCCTTGTCTGAGAACATTTAAGATCTTAACATGGTCTTTTTCTGTTTTTCCCTTCATTTTGAAGATTCACCAGCACAGACGGCTGACAAGAGCTCAATCTCATCATGGCTCTGAAGAAGAAAAAAAGAAAAGGAAGATCTTAGCACGAAAAGTAAGCAATCTTTAAATAGGTTTCTCATACAGAAAAAGATATGTATCTTTTCTGAATGTTTAGCATGCACAACCACAGGTATGCTGTCTATTCTGTCCTGTGTTTTTCTGTACTACTTCCTGATTGTTTTCACTTCTGTAGCTAAGCAATACACTTCCTAAGAAGTTTAAGTTACAATGGTAGCTGACTTGCATATTGGTTTAACCTGGTTGAGGTTGCTGTATGAAAACAGGCTTATTTAACACCTCATACACAGAAGGCATGTGTATGTGTATGTGTATGTGAAGGAAGCCTTTGCTGCTTCCTTCTGCCCGGTGAGGGTATTGGAGCCTTTTGTAGTCTGCTTTTGCAGCATGCTGTCTGTGTTTCTCTTCCTTTTCGTGCGTCATTTTTCTGCCTTTCCCTTGTGATCAGAGGACACTGGAGTTGCCCTGCTTGCTTGCCTGGAGATATCTGAGCACAGAACAGCCTTGCTGCTGTGGTCATCATGACAGCACATGTTGGGTGTGGGGAGAGGGATGCTGGGCATTGATAAGCCTTGTGTGATACAGTGGGTGGCTGTTACAAATCTGTGTGTCAGTGCAATCCTTATCATGGAAAGCAATTATTCATTCCCATCTTCTGTTTCTTCTGCTCTTTTTTTAAAGAAGTCAAAACGCTCTGCCTATGAAAGTGGGGAAGAACACTCAGCAAAATACAGCAACTCAAATAACTCAGGTAACTACAGAGAGAAGAGCTTGCTTCTACACAGCTATGTCAGTGTTTTTGTTGTTGCTGTCATTTTCTGGCTTGAAAGATCCAGGGTCACCATCAGTTTACACATTAATATTGGATAGCCAGAGCCTGATACCACTGTTTTGGGTATTTAATAATAGATAAATCAAGGGCTGAAAAATATTGTCAGTGTTAGATTTTCAGCTGCCTAATATAAAGCAATATGTCCTCTCTTCTATCCCCCATTCTTCAAAAAAAAAAAAAAAAATCAATCTCTTCATTCTGTTTGACATTTGAGTGGAATAATAGTAACATCCATTATTTGGGCCATTTAGTAATGCAGCGTTCAGAGAGAAACTCTGTGGTGATCTGTATTCTGTAGTAAGGTGTTAAGATGGATGAGAAAATTATCTGTTTAATTGCTGCTTCAGTGCCAAATTCTAAAACAACAGAGCCTTTGACAGGTCTTCATTTAGTTAAAAGGAATGGTTGGTACTACCGAACAGTTTAAGAGTTGACTTGCCTGGCTAAAATGTGTCCAAAAGCAGCCTATTGTGGAATAGTCAGATATCACAGTAACTTGTGGAGTACAGCAACTGACTGAAAATCATCTCCTAGAAGGAGAAATGGGGTGCCATCCATGCAGTGGCACAACTCTTAAGGAGAACAGAATTTGGACGCTGAAATCCAACAGCCTAAGCAACAGAAAAGAAGTGTTTCCCATTGAGGAATACTGTTGAGTGTGCTTCTTATGTGTTTGGACCTCCTCTGATACTGTGTACTGTTAAGTCTCTCTGTTCAGATCAGGTCTGAGTGACACTGTACGTATGAATGGGAATCTTTCCCAAGATATCAGTGGAAGCAGAACTGGATCTTCAGTCAATAAAGTTGGCCTGTTTCCAACAATCTGTCTTGTCTGACTGTGTTGAATTTTAATGTCACAGCTTTAGTTACTAGACTGTTGTTTTATTTAGCAGGCTCTGGGGCGAGTTCCCCATTAACATCTCCATCATCCCCCACTCCGCCCTCTACAGCAGGTAAGTTCAAGAGTCATTACAGTGTTTGTCTTTTTTCTTTGTTTTTTATTCCCCCATCCCTGCAACTGTGGGTGTTATTCCCAAGGATGGCTAGGGGATGGTGGTTTTCAAGGATTGAACACAGAGATGACATTTATCTTGTGTCAGCCTGAGTGTGGGCATTTGCTCTCTTTTGAGGGCCATAGAGAACCTTTTATACCATTCTTTTTCATTTAATAACCTTTATTGAGATATACATGATAGGATTTACCCTCAGAGTGTAAGTGCTTGCTTAAACGTCTCTATTACTCCAGTCCTACTGACATTGCTACTTTCCAGACATTTTCTGGCCCTCATGTTGCAGTATGCATTTGTTCTGATGTTAATGGTCTGTTGACTCTGAAGCACTATTTGTTGATCCCTTGTTTTTGTGTATTGTCTCTTTACGTCTGTACTGCTGTGATATAGTTTCAGGAATTTGGGGTGTGACAAATTCAGTGGCTTAGGCTGCCGAAATCTTCCCAGTTCTGCTACAGCCCATTGATAACACCAGTAGAACTGGTAGGAACAAGTCGGAAACTGATTTGGGTTGAAAATAATATCTTTAAATTTTTTTCCAGTTCCCTCTTCCAATTTGCTGGGTAGCTGTGCAGTTTTGCTAACTTAGGGCAGGTGGTGGGAAGTGGTGAAGAATCTGCTTGAGTGGGCAATAGAAATGTTCATGAAGTTTGATTACAAATCTGAATATTGAACACTAGTGGACGTGCTTCAATCTGAAAGGCTAGAAGAGGAGCACTGGTAAACATTAACAGCAACAGGTGCTAATGGAATACATTTCTAGAAGGGAAGCAGTCCATAGCGTTGCCGATTGTTATGATGACTCATGCCGTATGATTCCTAGTCCCAAGAAGTTTCTACACAGCACAACTTGTTAACTGAAGCGATGCAATCAAATTTGTGTTTGCTGTGGATGGTCTTTCAAAGGACACTGCAGTCTGTGTGATGTCATTGAAATCAGTCATGCTGAAATTCAAATTGGTCATTTCTCCTTCAAGTTGAGGGTATGTTGAAGTGTATATTTTATGAACTAACTTCTCCTAGTTAGTCTGAACAAGATAATTACTGTTATTGTGTTGCACAATTACAGCGCTGTTCTCTGGATGTACAACTCTTAGCTGGAGGGTTTATTTGCAGTTTTTTATGCTTTAAAAAGGAAGTAGCTGAAAATGCAAAAGAAAACCTTATGCCTCCAAAATGGACAGATGTTTAGACAACATTTTTTTTTCTGCAGTAAAACTACCTTTTACTTACGTTTTAACGTGTTGGAACTTGCTTGAAAGCTTTTTCAAGTTTTGAGCACGTGATGCAGGTTTATGTGTAGATGCTGCTCAGATGGCTAAGAATGGCTCAAGTCTGGGCTCAGACCTTGGCTGTTGGTCAAACCACATTGTCACAGTGTGTCAGTCATCCTGCTGCCAGTGTGCTCATGGTGACTCGTGGTGATCAGCCCCGTTGACACAGTGCATGTTGCCCTACTGCATTCCAACTGGAAAGCGCTTTAGTGTGCTGATGGCGTTGATGCATTTGATCAGGTATAAAGGCAAGTGTCACCATTTCAGGAATGCTTTTGTGAGTAGGATTCATAGAAGAAACTTCAAATATTAGCTCCAAGAGAAAGCTAGTGTGCTTGATTTTTTTTTCACCAGCAATGTTGTAGTTTTAGCTATTCTAAACAAGTATGCTATTACTGACTCGGTGAAAGACTCATCGGCCCCATGGTAGGACTTTCTTTGTGACAATTGATGGATCTATAGGTTGTATCTCTCTCTTCCAGTTTCCTTGTACTCACTAAGGATACTTACCTCTAAACCAAAATTGCTTGTGGGTATCGGTGTGGTGAGATGACAATCAGAAAGGGAATGAGGCTTTCCATCTGTCTTTCTGTTTTGGTCGTGGTTGTGTTAGAATCATGGCGTCTCAGAGCATCTTGCTGATAAGATGCTGTAGCAAAATGAAGACTGACATGGAAAAGTGTACCCAACAGAAGCTCTTGCCCTTGTCCTGGCCTGTAACCAACCAAATCAATGTAGTGTGTGGGTATGTGCAGACAGAGACTGACCAAAGGGGAACAGGCTCCAGGCTGACATGCCCTGGGGAAGTAACCCACTTCAGGGGCTTTTCTCACATGTTGAGACGTGCTTTGTCTCTGAACAAAGGCCTTGTGAGACTTAGCTTGCAGTAGAGTGCTTGGTATAGTCAATGCAAAAGATACTGTCCTGGTTTAGCCCCAGCCAGCAACTAAGCACCACGCAGCTGCTCGCTCACTCCCCCTGCCCCGATGGGATGGGGGAGAGAATCGGAGGAGTAAGAGTGAGAAACACTCCTGGGTTGAGATAAGAACAGTTTAATAATTGAAATAAGGTAAAATAGTAATGATAATAATAACAATATAATAATGATAATAACAATAATAATATACAAAGCAAGTGATGCACAATGCAATTGCTCACCACCTGCCGACCGATACCCAGACAGTTCCTGAGCAGCGATCGCTGCTCCCTGGCCAACCCCCCCCAGTTTCTATACTGAGCATGACGCCATATGGTATGGAATAGCCCTTTGGGCAGTGGAGGTCAGCTGTCCTGGCTGTGCCCCCTCCCAGTTTCTTGTGCACCTGGCAGAGCATGGGAAGCTGAAAAGTCCTTGACTAGCATAAGCAGTACTTAGCAACAACTAAAAACATCAGCATGTTATCAACATTCTTCTACTAAATCCAAAACACAGCACTATGCCTGCTACTGGGAAGAAAATTAACTCTATCCCAGCCGAAACCAGGACACATACTAAGAAAGAAAATGATTGCTGGCTTCAGCTGTCTTTGTAATGATAGCTGCAACTGTAGGATGGAATGCATGACCTGCTTTGAGGGGAAAAGTGTCTACTAGAAATGCAGGCTCTCGTGGGCTTTTCTCATTGACTAGAATGTTTTGGGCTGGTTTTGTTGCAGATGCTCGCCTAAATGTCATCTTTGAAATACGTTGTTTAGATCGTGGCAAGTGATTCTAATGTAATTTCCCGTGTTTCTGACATTCCCCCTTGAATGTTTGATTATTTTTTTTCCACTTGCACAATTCTCTGCTTTCTTGAAAATCTGTTATTTTTCTTTGTGGCTGTGAGCTGTGGCTAGGATCAGAAGGGATGCAGAACACTGTGATATGGGTTATTTAAAACTTCACTGCATCTTCTCTAAATCCAATAAGCACATAAAATACCAGCGAGCTCTCTTACAATAGAAAGAAGTTTTGAGGAAGCCATTTTTGCTTCCCCGCGGGAACAAAAGTGGGAGAGTTGTACTTAACTTTAGCTATCATTTTCTGTCCCGGTTGTTCTGAATCCTTCAGTACGACATACGTTTCATAGACACCCATATGGTGCACCTTTTCGGCTCTTTACCTTTCTGTAAGACAATCTGAATGCTTTAGCAAGCGCTGTTCTTGAGTGTCTCTGATCCATGGAGCTTAAGTGTAAATACAGGTGTTAATATGACAGGAAATGTTCCTTGAACTGAATGGATTTCATCTTCTATGGCTAATCTTCCTGCAGATTTCTTGCTAAATCTCTCTAAATGCACTTTAATCCTGTAAAGTTTGAATTGTGGCATGTGCAACTGAAAGCATGTGTGTTGTATTTGTTCATCAAGTATAATAATGCTTATAGCATGGAAAATTGTGGTTCGTTATTCAGAATCAAAGTATTGTATATGTAATATGAAATAATCAATCTGCTATCCTCATATTTGTTAGTGAATAAGAATGTATTGATTTTTGTACTAACTTTTCAGCTAATGGTATCTGTTTTTCTTACTTTGACACGAGAACCGGATGATTAACTTGTGTCCTCTCTCTTTCTCTGCTGTCTTCAATAGAGCATGCATCATTTTGAACGTGAATTTTCGGAAAAGTAAGCTAATGCTGATTTATCTCTTTAAAGATGCTCTGTTTCTGTATGGGAAAGCTGAATGCAAATCTTGAACTTGCTTAGTATTGGGAGGGAATAGAAGAAAAAGATCTGAACATTCTTATGGATTATTTTAATGAAATACAGCATCTTTAAAAACTCTATCACTAAAATGATTTTGTCTGCATCCCATTCTCAGCCAACTTTTTAATGCTGTTTGCACAATTACTGCCACTTAAAATTCATAATCAAGTTTTTGTTTCAATTCAGGCATCAAGTTTACAACATCTGATTTACTTCCTATTCCTTTTAACACACTCTCTTAACAAAAATGTCCCTGTAAAAAACCCTTGGTAAGTTCTTGTTTGAGTGTTTTATTCTAACAACTGCATGAATGAGTAGAATGTGTGTTTGCAGGCAACTTCTTCCAACATATGTATTGGAAAGGTCTAGTTATAACTGAGCTCTTTTCTCAAATGTTTTTTCTAGTAAATATAGGAAAGTATTTCACTGTTGGACAGAACAATTTAATTTGTAGATGTAACTGCATGAGTACACCAGCATGAACTAAGATTTCCTTTGCACCACTCGTGTCAAGAAGGGAAGGACAGCTTGGTTTTGATTGACTAATTGAAATGAATTGATTTGAAGATTTTCAGAACCGTGCTCTTAATTAATGGGTTCACTATGTAATGCTCATAGCTAATCAGATACCATCCTAAAAACTGTATGTATTTATGTTTTAAGGCAGAGCTCAGGTGTAAGAGTATCATTGTCTGTAATCAGCTCTCAGGAGTTTAACTGTATGATGTTGTTGGCAGCTCAATTTCAATAATAGTCCTGAGGAATTTAACAAATTGCCTGGAAGGAAGGTGGCCTCTCCCCCTAATTCCCTGTCTTTTCTGCCACCATTGTAAAATAACCGGACCAAAATTGGAAGATAACACACAGAATCTTGATCTAATAATACTTAGTGATCCAAGCACTTTGTGGCTTTTCTGCCCCTCTCTCTGTCAAATGTGTACCTTCTTTCACTGCATATGTTACTGTTGTATTAGTGTTCCAAACAGAGCCACTGTTTTCATGGTCATTCGCTATTGCATCTTGTACGACTACTTGCATAGCCTCTTCAACCTCACTGTGCAGTTCCAGTGAAAAATCTTGTCTTTGTTCTCTGCAGTTCTTGCATCTCTTTCAAGCCATTTAATTTATGATTAGCTGGTCTTGGCTGTCTTACAGCAGTTCATCTGATCAGTTTGGTGATAGCATTGGTACGCCAGTCCTACAATGTTCTGCTCTGACCGCTTGAACCACAAAAGTGGTTACTTTAACTGTTCTTGGTCTTGTTCTTCCTTTGGCAAAGTGTCAAGATTTGCTTTGCTGCTCTTTGCTGACAGTCTGCACACACATGACAAACAGAAGGACTCTAACCTAGGGCATGGGTTTCCAGTATTTCTATTAATAAATTGACTTACATCTTTGGCTAGTGTAAAAAGTAGATTTGGGTAAGTTAGATGGCCTCAGGGCATCGATATGCAATTTATTTCCATTTGTGCTAACAGTGTGTAATGTTTTGTTTACTTAAAAGAGTTGATCCACGTGCAACAGCCATGTTAAATTGTTTCAGTTGATCTCTGGTATTTCTACTAGGACTTGAGTGTTTCCTCTGGAAGGGAGGAGAGTGAAGATGAGCCCGTATGTACTGCCATGTTTTGTTGTCAAGAAAGTTTTCATGCCAATGAGAATTTCTTCTGAGGAGTTGGAAGTACTAAAATCACAGCATGTATTAATGTACACTGGCAAAATTGGATGCTTTGTGTGAATACTCAGAATTTTGAGCTTGCTCCCATATAGGAAAAGTCTCTCTTCAAAGGCTGGTACAAATAGAAAATGAGGCAGCTTTGACTTATGACTTTCATCTAGTGTAACTGCTCTTTTTAATTACAGCAGGTATTTTTTTTGCTATTACTTGTTAGTCTGAGAGCAGGTGTTAGTGAGGAATCGAGAGAGAAGTGGAGCACAGAGAACTTTACCTGCTTTTTGTTTTCCGTAGCTGAGCTTTACCCTTCACTGAATACCTCTTGAGTCCGTGTGGCAGGATGTCCTTTAGCTGCTTGGTATTTGCCTACTTCATAGCAAACAGTTCTACTTCAGTGCCCATAGTTTCTTAGTTGGCCTCATGTTGTTTTGCTTTGTTGTCCTTTAGTATTGTAGTTCTTGCCACGTACCAGTATATTCCTCTTTATAGGTTAGAGCTACTGGAAGCAAATGTTAGACTATAGGTGCCATTTATCTCTCTGGTCTTACTATGGAATAACTCATGATCTAGATGATGGGGTTAAAATTCACTGCTAAATAGTTCTAAGATACTAATCATTATGCCCGTACTCATTCCAGAACGTATGAGACAAGACAGGCCCATCATTCCCTATATAGCTAGTGATGGGCTGCAGATGTCACCTTCATGTGGATGTCTTGTGGAATGGCAAGCGATCACCTCTGAAGCCCTTTGCTCTTAGTCCTGCCTGGATCTTTTGATTGATACTTGCGTAGAAATGTTGGCGCGATGCGCAGCAGCAAAGTTGCATAAGATCAGGGTGTTTGGGTGAGCTGATTGGGACAAACAAGGCAACTTGCCTGGATCTGAGCTGCCAGGAAGCACCTCCAGGCAGGCCCTCGCTGCTGGGCTCGCTGCCTGCGTGCACTGCTGTGGGCTCTGGCTTCCAGGGAGTCAAGGCATGAAGAAGCATGAGATGGATGTGACAGGGGCAGAAAGCAAGGGCCAGAGTGCAAAGGTGACTGGTGGGAACACGAGAGGCAGGCAAGCGGTGTGAGTGGCAGATTGTTGTGATTCATTCAGCCTGTGACACAAGCATTTGTTACAACATGTTCAGAGAAAGTCTGACAGTATTGTGGAAGCGTAAAACACTTCCAGAAAACTCTATCTGCAGTTAGTACTTTAAAAATGGAATATAATCTGACCAAGCAGTCATCACAAATACTATAGCGACGTGGTCCTTTGTAAGAATGTAAAGTTAGCCATGTAAATAAGAACAGGTAGTAGGATTTGCTTCCAGTCTTTGTTACTGTTCATGACCCAAAGAGCAAACTGTTTCACTGGGGACAAACAAGAGAAGCTGAAGCTGGGAAGTCCTGTTAAGTGATCTCCATTTCCCTCAGTGCAAGATGACACCGAGTCACATTTTGCATCCCCGAGCACTGAGGCACTTCAGGCTTCATGTCAGAGGTGTCTCAGATGACGTGACTCACCTGCAGATAGAGGGTCTTGATCACTTTGGCATTTTTCATCTGTTCTGTTCTTCACACTCCACTGGCATTCAAGGAATGACGTGAATAATGCAGGACTGACCAAGTCCAGCTAATCAGCTGCAGTCCTCTGCAGCATGACCTCCCTGGCATAATCAAACCACATCTTCTCTCCTCAACTTAACAGGACCATCGTCGATACCCCCAGCACCGCCACCGCCGCCCCTGCCACCAGCAGCTCCTCCTCTGAGTGCAGAGGTGCCAACGCAGCCAAGCCCGCAGCCCGACGTCAGTGCAAGCCGAGGAGCCTTACTCAGCTCCATTCAAAACTTTCAGAAAGGAACTCTGAAGAAAACACAGACCTGTGACTACAGTGCTCCCAGGATCAGCTGAGGCCACTGGTCACGCACGCCAGGATTGAATTCCGTTTCCCTCTCCTGTGCTGTCTGGGAACAAGACCCTCCTGACCGGCAACTGATCCACCAGCATATAGCGGCTAATCACACTGTAGCTCCGTTTACCCCTATTTCAGCTTTTCTTGAGTAGCAGCACTACCCTGTCTGAATTGCGTTGCCATGCTGTGATAAGTACTCCATTCTTTACTTGGTTTCAAGAACTTTGTTCTCTAGCTACAGTTTCAGGGGTACAGCAACTTCTATATCGCTGAATAAAAATCTGAAAATAGGAATGACCATGATCATGGTGAATTAATGCATTTTTTTTCTAGCTCTATTCCACCCCTTTTTTCAAATTACAGGAATGTAGTTTTAGTCTGCTCAGTTTTTCAACGCTTTTCATGCAGTTGTAACTCATCTTAATTCTTGTTGCACTGAATCAGCAAGTTTTGGTTTAGATAACCCAATACCCTCCCCCCCAACCCTTAACACATACTGCACAGGTGAGGGAACTGGAGAATTAAGTCTTATTCCCACCCTATTTGCTGGTGGAGTAAAAACACTGTTTCATTAAACTTGTTTAAATGGACATCCTACCTGTAACTCTAAGGGAAAGTGCTTTTAAATGAGGAAACAGTTGAAATGGGACTTAATAGGGCACTGGGATATTATTCATCATTTGGTTAAATGCAAAGTTACTTCAAGTTAATTCTACAGCTTAAACTTTATTGAAAGATCCTTTTTGATTTAAAACCTTAAACAAATTGCACTTTAAAGGATTATAGATAATCCATTTTTTAAATTCAAGTACATCAGTGTTTGTTACTATGCAGAGACTATCTGTACAAAGTTTCATGTAACCTGTGATATTCAGTCATTTTTATTAAAATGTTAATGGAATTCCTTCAGCGGCGTGGTGGTGGGTATATTCAGCTAGGATTTCACCTGCAAGCCAGACTTCCCAAGAACCTAACAGCACTTCTGCTAAAAGGAAACCCAGGAAGGTATTCTTGGCCCTTGACTGAAATAGGATCCGAGCTCTTCTGCCTGCTTACGGAGGTAAGTTCCGCGGAAAGGCAGCCTGTCCGTGGCACAGAGCATGCCACGCTGGCCAGACTCCTCTAGGCAGCTTTCACTCTGTACCGGCAGCTGCTGAACAAAGCCTAGCAGAGCTCTCCCTGCCTGTCAGGACTGGCCCCTTAGCTAAACCCGGGCACACGGTGATCTGCCTAAAGGCTGCTGCAACTGTTTCCCAGCTCTTCAACTGCAATCTATACTGCTGCTGCTGCTGCAGACCCTGGCTCAATGCATCTGAATAATTTGCACTGTAAGAACTATAGTCTGAGCATGCCGTTGTTAGCCCATGTGATGAGTTTAAAAAAAAAAATACATAAAGCATCTGGGCAAGTATTTTTTAATCACTGTATGTGGCAGCTAGTGAAGAGAAAAATTAGGTAGTGTTTCCCATCACATACTGAAGAGGATCAGGATCTTTATTTAAGCTCTCGTGCAGAAGCTTTCCTGCATGAGTGGAGTGCTCTTCAAACTGAACACGTTAGCTATCTCTTAGCCCATACCGCAGGCTTCCAAAGCCACTTTGTGGAGATAGTTGCACTCAACTGTTGAACTGAAAAGCAAGGCTTTGCTTGCTGCAGTTTGATCATTCACCTTTAATAAGCTTTGTGACCATGGGCTCCTCGAGAGCTGTACAGCATTCCAGGGCTGGACTTCTGCTCACTGTGGTTCTTCACTCAACCACCACTACAGCCAGTTTAACACAGCAGCCTGGTAATTACAAGCCAAGCAGCAACGGAGGATTTTTTCCTCACTCTGAATTTCGAATCTGATTTCTCCACATACAATAGCACTCACCCACCGAACAAGCATTAACACAGTGTTGCTTATACAAAGTGTGGCTTAGAGGGTAACCCCATATAAATATTTTGGGAGGTCACTATACTTTCCCCACTGTACAAAAGTTCATGTAGCTATACAACAGAGTTATGCATACAACTTGCCCTTACACCACTGATACTTTTTAAAGCAGGACTTTAAAACATGTATTTACAACTTAGATATTCAAAGTTTTCTTCACTGCAAATATTATATCCTTTACTTGAGGTATGCAGTTATCTTCTAAATTTTTTGCATAAGGCATAGGAACATCTGCACCGGTAACACGCACAGCTGGAGCATCCAAGTAGTTAAAAGCAGATCCTGAAACAGAAGACAGTTGTCAACAAGGTTGCCATGCACTACAGTTTTCTCTCAATTCAATTTCTGAATCTTAATCTATTTAAACAAATTTGGTCCTGTAGGTCTAATATTCTAGAGCGCGCTGTTCCTGCTTCTTTATCGTCATGTATTATGGTTTAGACAAAAGGTTTTCATCCTGCTTCTCACACCGTCAAGTTCCTGGGATAAGAATTGCTCACAACAGAGTAAGAGCTGGATCCACCCTGTGAAAACCTCTGGAGCAAGACAACTAGGCTCAAGCTCCTCAGATATAAAACCCTAACTTTGCCTTCATCTGGCTTTATCAAGAAGTCTAGGGAATGAGATCAACACTTTTATTGCAAAACTCAGTACCTTCCATGATCCTGGCACAGATTTCAGCTCCTACTCCGAATTGCGGCCAACCTCCTTCTACAGTTACAAGATGGTTTGTCTTTACAACGCTGGCTTCCACTGTTTCAATATCCATCGGTCGAATGGTACGCAGATTTATAACCTGGGGGTGGGGAAGGGGGACTCCGTGAGTTTTGTCCTTTAGCACTTTCATCTACTGACTTTCAAGACAAGACTTAATAAAATTTCTAACTTTTTATCCTGGCAGAGACTGTGCAGAACAGTTTCTGGTGGCTCCTGGCAAATCCCAGACAGGGGAATCATGCTGTATCGAGATACAACCACACTAATACATACTGTCCTTGTTCTGCTTACTGTGCAGCTAGGTCAATCTGAAAACCGTTAGCAGTTGTGCCTTAATTTTGTGATGAAAAGGTCAAATGCAGAAACATGAAATGCATGTGCTTGGCTGACTGACGCTTAAGGCATTTACAAATGTAAGAAGCTTGTAGTAATTACACTGAAGTTTTGCGGAGCCTAACAAGAAGACCCTGCTTTTTTTCCCACTCTAGGGAAAG